GATAAGAGGTAATTATTTAATAAATGACCGTTATCGATATATATAACATATATCTTCTAAGAGTTTAATTTCGGGAGATGGTAACTTGTTAAACAACTTCTTCCGTGGTGCCCCAAATACCTAATGAGTTAATTGTTACATGATTAATTTAATCGAGTGACAATTAAACATAGTTAGGTGATTCGATAAATAACAGTCATACATTAAAGTAAGTCACAACACATTTGAACCTAGCATGTTCAGCTAGCTGAATCAAAGTGGCAATTTTCTAAGCTGATACTTTTAGTTTTGAACCAAGAGATTGCTTACGGCTTTAAAGTTATACTAACAAGTCTCCTTGTTTTGGATAAATTCCATGTAGCGTGTTTTGCGTTTCGGTAACACTTTGTTTTAAAGTAATTTGTAATAAGCTGACATGAACAGCCATGACTGTAAATGTATCTGTTATGTCATTGGTATGACATTGGTAAGTCCTTATGGTCGATGGGTTCAAGTAAAGTGGAACATGGGTTTCAAACATTAATGCACCGGGCCTGTTTTGAGAAAGTCACTAGTGAAAGCACTTCCCCTCTCCCATAGGACGAAGTCTGTCTCAGTCTCAAATGGCACCCTATTCCCTATATAGTGCACTACTTTTGACCAGAGCCCTATCAGCCCTGGTCAAAAGTAGTGCACTATAAAGGGAATAGGGTGCCATTTGGGACACAACATTTGTTTATCTTGAGGACTTTTGTCCTGAATGGTCCTCTGCCAGCTGTCAATCATTTGGTTGAATGGTTCGGGAAAAAAGACACTGTCTGACAGAGGTGAAAGAAAGAAAGAAAGAAAGAAAGCAGTGCTCGCTCCTTTATCTGCACACTCTTTCTCGTAGGCAGGAATGTTAATGGTGCCGGTGCTTTGTGATGGGGTTCAGTTCTCCTGACTGACAGACTAACTGACTGACTGACAGGCTGGTGGCTCACAATGACAGGAATATGTCAATGGAAATGCCAGAAAATGCTGGTTAACACCGGAATTAGCTTTAGCATTAAAGAGGCTGTAACGCGTTAGTTCTATTAACTATGTTGACTATGACATTACTTTAGCTATGGTGACAACAATGTAGGCTGTGTGTAGCGGTTTTGATATGGTTAAGGCTTGGAAAGGTCACAAACAGCTGATGTGTTGTGCACTGAAGTCCACAAGCGGAGGGAAAAGGTGAGAGGAGAGTGCGTAGATGTGAAAAGGAATACAACGTGGCTGCTATAAAAGTGAACCGTGTTTACACGTGATCAGATGTATATTCATTCCGTCGATTCTGTTGAAAAATGTTTTTTAAACAGAAGCAAACGGAACGAGACGGGGATAAACATACCTGAATTTGACCAATACAAACTTTTGTTTACAACTGTTGGACTAATGATTACACCCTAGATCAGCTAGATGCAGGCAAGAGTGTGCAAGGCAGTATTGAATGTGTCACTGTCTTTCACCTCAAATGTTTCTCTCGACCTGTGTGCACCTACGTTGTAAACTTTCATTAGCGAAGAGTGTGCAAAGCTGTCATCAAGGCACAGGGTGGCTATTTGAAGAATCTCAAATATAACATATATTTTATTTTGTTTAACACTTTTTTGGTTACTACATGATTCCATATGTGTTATTTCATAGTTTATGTCTTCACTATTATTCTACAATGTAGAAAATTGTAAAAATAAAGAAAAACTCTTGAATGAGTAGGTGTTCTAAAACTCATTTAGCAGACGTTCTTATCCAGAGCGACTTACAGTTAGTGAGTGCATACATTTTTTTTCATACAGGTCCCCCATGGGAAACGAACCCACAACCCTGGCGTTGCAAACGCCATGCTCTACCAACTGAGCTACACGGGACTACATATGACATCATCACAATGAAATGAGGGATTACATTAAAGGAAGGAGGAGAGTGTTTCTTCCTAGGCGGTCCAACCCAGGCGAGACAAAGCAAAGCTTGGTAGAGTGTGTGTGTGTACTTGGGTGTGTGATTGTCAGATTGGCAATGCTGATTGCCCTATTCTCCAGGATGTTTTCTGTTACTCTTGTATGCCAATTGACTGAGATAGAACTGCTGCAGCGTGCCACAAAGTTCTTAATAGAAGTATTTCAGGGTGCAACACACCCATGGCTTTGTCCATTTGAACTTCCTGGGGAATACGACTTGGCTGTCTGTGTCTTTCTTTGCACAAAGGTGGTGGAGGAGTGAAGTGTTTCCTATTCAGATAATCTTTGTTTGTAGTGAATTATCTCCTATTCATCGAGTATTATTTGTTTGTAGTATGATTTTCAACTTTGGGCGCATCCCAGATTGTATTTAATGCAGTCACGCTGCACATGATCAGATCTCACAACGCCTGGAAAAGTGATTAGCATCTCGGAAAATACTGGACATTTTGTCCATTACTACTATAGCCCGTAGAAACGCATTGAGTAACACATTCATTCATAAATGGCAAAAAAGCCAGTCAAAAAACTAATCATAAGGAATAAGGTTTTCAAGTGTCTGTCCTATATCTAGGAGATATAAGAAAGCTCTGGAAATATTTGTGCTTTTTTGGACACATATTTAACACCTTATTTTTGTTGTTACAAAACTACCTCCATACTTCCATTTGTTTTTATGGGTTACTTTCAGACGAGTCCCATCACACTTGTGGGGGTTGTAGAGCAAAACGGAGAACACCATCGTGTTCGTGAGAGTTTTCTAGGCCGAACCGTTCTGACGCTACAGACGTTTTTGTGAGAAGACCGATTTTCAGGATGTGTCATGGTCTGACAAACTGCTGGATCTCGGCCACCTTCCACCGCAGATACGGAAGGCCGACATAGGTGGATGCGGTGGATTGAGACGCAGCCCATGCAAAAAACGGATATCTCTAGCTTAAACCGATGCTCTAGCTTAAACTCTAGCTTAAGTGCCTTTGAACGGGGTATGGTAGTAGGTGCCAGGTGCACTGGTTTGAATGTGTCAAGAACTGCAACGCTGCTGGGTTTTTCAACAGTTTCCCATGTGTATCAAGAATGGTCCACCACCCAAGGACATCCAGACAACTTGACACAACTGTGGGAAGCATTGGAGTCAACGTGGGCCAGCATCCCTGTAGAACGCTTTCGACAGCTTGTAGAGTCCATGCCCTGACGAATTGAGGCTGTTCTGAGGGCAAAAGGTGGTGCAACTCAATATTAGGAAGGTGTTCCTAATGTTTTGTACACTCAGTGTATGTTATATAATGTACACTGAACAAAAATATAAACACATGTAAAGTGTTTGTCCCATGTTTCATGAGCTGAAATAAAATATTCCAGACATTTTCCATAAACACAATCTTTTTTCTCTCAAATTTTGTGAGGAAATGTGTTTACATCCCTGTTGGTGTAGCATTTCTCCTTTGCCAAGAAAGTCCACAGGTGTAGCATATCAAGAAGCTGATTAAACAGCATGATCATTACACGGGTGCACCTTGTGCTGAGTACAATACAAGTCCACTCTAAAATGTACAGTTTTGTCATACAACACAATGACACAGATGTCTCAAGTTTTGAGGGAGCGTGCAGTTGGCATGCTGACTGCAGGAATGTCCTCCAGAGTGGTTGCCAGAGAATTTTAAGTTAATTTCTGTAGCATAAGCCGCCTCCAACGTCATTTTAGAGAATTTGGCAGGACGTCCAACCGGCCTCACAACCGCAGACCACGTGTAACCAATGCAGACCAGGACTTCCACATCCAGCTTCTTCACGTGCGGGATTGTCTGAGACCAGCCACCCGGACAGCTGATGAAACAAATTGTCAGAAACCGTCTCAGGGAAGCGCATCTGCTTGCTTGTTGTCCTAATAATAATAATAATAATAATAACATGCCATTTATCAGACACTTTTATCCAAAGCGACTTACAGTCATGTGTGCATACATTTTTACGTATGGGTGGTCCCAGGGATCGAACCCACTACCCTGGCGTTACAAGCGCCATGCTCTACCAATTGAGCTACAGAGGACCACAACAGGTCCTTGACCTGACTGCAGTTCTGCATCGTAACCAACTTCAGCACGCAAATGCTCACCTTCGATGGCCACTGGCACGCTGGAGAAGTGGGCTCTTCACGCATGAATCCCGGTTTCAACTGTACCAGGCAGATGGCATACAGCGTCTTGTGGGCGAGCGGTTTCCTGATGTCAACGTTGTGAACAGAGTGTCCCATGGTGGCGGTGGAGTTATGGTATGGGCAGGCATAAGCTATGGACAACGAACACAATTGCATTTTATCGATGGCAATTTGAATACACAGAGATACCGTGATGAGATCCTGAGGCCCATTGTCGTGCCATTTATCCACCGCCATCACCTCTTGTTTCAGCATGATAATGCACGGCCCCATGTCACAAGGATCTGTACACAATTCCTGGAAGCTGAAAATGTCCCAGTTCTTCCATGACCTGCAAACTCAACAGACATGTCACCCATTTGGGATGCTCTGATTCGACGTGTATCCAGAAACTTCGCACAGCCATTGAAGAGGAGTGGAACAACATTCCACAGGCCACAATCAACAGCCTGATCAACTCTATGCGAACGAGACGTGTCGCGCTGCATGAGGCAAATAGTGGTCACACTAGATACTGACTGGTTTTCTGATCCACGCCCCTACCAATTTTTCTAAGGTATCTGTGACCAACAGATGCATATCTATATTCCCTGTCATTTGAAATCATAGATTAGGGCCTAATGAATGTATTTCAATTGACTGATTTCCTTATATGAACTTTAACTCAGTAAAATCTTAGAAATTGTTGCATGTTAAGTTTATATTTTTTATATATAGATGTATGCCACAGGAAGACCCCACCACCCCCGGTAACTCTGCCACCGCAGCAGAATTATTTTTCTAGGGGAAACACTGGGTTGATGTACTGTAGATAGTTTTACGTGGGCTGCTGCTTTCGTGGTAACCGTTGGTAACCATGGTGTTTTTCTAATCTCCTAGGTTACCTATCCAAAGTGTTGAGGAACTACACTGAGCAGGCGTGCGACGGCGATTTCCTGTCGGTCCGCTGCCTGCCCCACACCACCATCACCGTCCAATCGGCTTTCTACGGCAGGAGAGGCCCCTTCCACCCCCAGCAGTGCCCGTCCTACCACAGACACACCCTTTTAGATACACACCCACTGGAGGATGACTTGCATTGTTACATGTCCACAGCACTACAGGTAACTGCCCTTCCCTCCATACACACTTACCCTATGGACTTTTATGCTTCTCTAGTACCTCTAGTACAGTAACGAAGGTCATGAAATAATGGTCATCTTCTGGTATCGACATTCGTCCAGGGTGATTTTCCCAAAGCCTTGTAGCAAAATGTGCAAAGAACACACCCAAGAAACACCCACGTCAAACCACACCCACAAGCCAACTCACGTTTGGCTCCTGGCATGGCCGCCAGCAGTTCTTGAGGAGCAAGACAAAAAACGAGGTAAAATTCCCCTTTAAGAGCTTCATCCACACATTGTGGATGGTAGCCTCTTGTTAGAAACCTATTGCGCATTTCTGCTGCTTTTTCTAGATAGTCCTCTGTGGAGTGGCATACAGTATACAGCACAGCCTGAAAAACTGGCTTCTTGGAGGTCCTCTTTTTAATGGCTCTAGTGAGTAATTTTCATAAAGTCTGACAGCTCTTCTCCCATACCTATTAGGTAGTGAGCTAGGGTTTCCAGCCCCACCATGTGGGGAATGCTGGTGTACAGACTCGCAACATCTAATGTGACCAGAATTCTATTAATCCCGTTATTGGTGAGATCTCGTTTATATAAAGTATTTGACATATGATGGCAATGCTTGCACATAAGATTTGATAAAGGAGTCTACAAAGTTTGACAATGGCTCTAGCGTTGAGCTTATTCCTGTGACTACTGGTCTGCCTGGATAATTGCCTTCTCGTATTTTAGGTTTGTGTAATTTAGGCAAAATATACAGGCATGGACGTATGACACATGGGCAGAAAAATGTATTCATATTCAGGTTTTGAGATAAGGTTGTTTAATAGGGCTTGCTCTAGATTTGAGTTAATATCTATTTGGAACACCTGTGTGGGATCAACACTCAGTTTTCCATAGAAACATTCATTACTGAGTTTTCTCTGAATCTCCTCATTGTATTTTTCATAGTCTAAAATGATCACAGTACCCCCCTTGTCTGCAGGTTTGATAAGTTCATTGAGTGCCTGTTCTTCTGTCCTGGTGAGGTTATTCTGAATATGTGTTGTTTTTCTCATATATACAGAGATTACTTCTTGTTCGACTAACCTACAATAGGTATGATTCGAGGACTTGTTAACCATAGGACATAATTTGCTTTTGGGCTTAAAATTAGTAACATTTCTTTGTTGGATTTCTAGGCCAGAACTTTAATCTTACAAAAAAAAGGATTTATGCTTTATTAGATCAAGCAATTGTTTTAAATTAAATTAAATTGTTTGCTAACTGATATGATACTGTATATTGTTGTGACATGAAGTAACAGAATTGCATGCAAATATCCTGGATATTGGTGAGACTCTGCCCCAACTGCCCCACATTTTTTATTGGTTTTATTTCAGCTATATTTAACTAGGCAAATCAATTAAGAACAAATTATTATTTACAATGACAGCCTACCAAGAGGCAAAAGGCCTCCTGTGGGCACGGGGGCTTGGATAAAAAATCTATAAAATAATGTATGACACAACACACATGCTGACAAGAGAGACACTACAGAAAGAGAGACCTAAGACAACAACACAACATGGCAGCAACACATGACAACACAGCATGGTAGCAACACAACATGACAATAACGCAGGAGCAACACAAGATTGCAGCAGCACAACATGGTAGCAGCACAAACATGGTACAAACATTATTGGGCACCGACAACAGCACGGAGGGCAAAAAGGTAGAAACAACAATACATCAAATGAAGCAGCCACAAGTGTCGGTAAGAGTGTCCATGATTGAGTCATTGAATGTAGAGATGGAGATAAAACTGTCCAGTTTGAGTGTTTTTTGCAGTCGCTAGCTGCAGCAAACTGAAAAGAGGAGCCACCCAGGGATGTGTGTACTTTGGTGACCTTTAACAGAATGGGACTGGCAGAACAGTGTTGTATGTGGAGGATGAGGGTTGCAGTAGATTTCTCAGATAGGGAGGACTGAGGACTAAGAGAGTTTTATAAATAAGCATTAACCAGTGGGTCTTGCGCCGGGTATACAGAGATGGCCAGTTTACAGAGGAGTATAGAGTGCAGTGATGTGTCCAATATGGAGCATTGGTGGCAAATCTGATGGCCGAATGGTAAAGACAATCTAGCCGCTCGAGAGCACCTTTACCTGTCGATCTATAAATTACGTCTCCATAATCTAGCATGGGTAGGATGGTCATATGAATCAGGGTTAGTTTGGCAGCTTGGGTGAAAGAGGAGGAATTACGATAGAGGAAACCAAGTCTAGATTTAACCTTAGCCTGCAGCTTGGAAATGTGCTGAGAGAAGGAGAGTGTACCATCAATCCGGGGAGGGACCAGCTGAGTATAAGACAGTATCATCTGCATATAAATGGATCAGAGAGCTTCCTACTGCCTGAGCTATGTTGTTGATGGAAATTGAGAAGAGTGTGGGGCCTAGGATTGAGCCAGACTTCACACATTGCACTCTTTGAGAGAGGTAGACGCATCACAACTGCAGGTAGGCATAGGCTAATTTGTAGTAAGCATTTCATTAAAAAGGTTTTTGGGAAAGCCTTTCCATCTACCAGAAGACAGTTGTCATTAGGGTTGGGCGATATCCAGATTTTCATATCGTCATTCTGTCCTTCTCTCATCCCGGGATTTACGGTATTACCGGTTTAGTACACAAGGGGGTGTCAAAAAAAGAACAAAAAAAGCCCATTGGGCATCTATTACCAGAATGCTAACATAATTAGCACAATTAATAGCGAGTTTCCGTGGAGGTAAATATGCCAACGAGCACAAACGAAAATAAAAGTATTGTAAAGACAGGCAATCCAGCTCATAAAGTTCTACATATATAGGTAGGAGCTACCGAATGTCATGTTTGGATATTTACAAGCAAATGTGAACGATAGACCTTGTGAAAATGAAAAAAGTTGTCTGAAGGAAGAACAGTACTGGCTCTGGAGCAGCATGTGTACATGGTGTGTCTGTGTGGAGTCTGGAGTCGCTAGGGCCTTGCTGCTCTGTTCACAAGGAAATCAAAGATATCCTACAGATAACGCATCCAAAGGGCTTTGACTTCTCAAACACGGCAGAAAGCGAACACAATATGATGCCTCATCACCTTATTAATTCAGCCAATTACTTAGATAACTAACAAGTTAAACTTAGGGGTTTCTTTAATGCAGAATTCTGTGTTTTTCACACAGGAAAAAAGGATTAAAGGCATAAGAAATAACTTGCTGTGTTTTGTAAAAGCAGATCTAAAATGCTTCTTATTGTCATTTCTGCTCGGCATCAGACACATTTTGTGCTTCAGTTGCACTTCTCCACTCGGATGAGCATTCACTAACGGCCATTCTATCAGCAGACAGCGCTCTGAGTGATGTGTAGCAACTTTTCCCAGGTACGTTTCTAGATGTAGCCAGCCTACTTTTCTCCGGTAAAATGTAAGATTAACTTTATTTTCTGCCGAAGGTGTTGCACTAATGTGTTTTCTGTGAAGGAAAACTATAGTTGCACGTCCCCGATCACTCTATTGAAGCAAAAAAACACTGTTGCCTTTCAATATAAAACGTGACCCCTGTCATTACACAGCTGGACTCACCTGCTCCCGCTTTCGCCCGTTGTGCTATTTACAAACAAACACGTGACTGGCTCAACTGTTCTGGGGAACTATGGTAAGCTTCATAATGTAAAATAATGTGACAAGTGAAATGAAGAATGCGATCAGCTTTATCTCCTATTGTATTGCACAAGTTGCCTGCAGGTATTTACTTAAAAAGTAGCTTCAAATATTAAAATGTATTGAAAAACTTAAAATAATAGTTTCAACGGGATTGAAAAACCATCCTGTGCCTATTTCCAAATACCCCAGTATATACGGTATACTGCCCAAACCTAGTTGTCATTACATTAGCATCATCGCTACACAAAGTGGTAGACGAACGCTCAAACACAGACAGGGGCATTCCTGTGCCGTTGCCTCTTCAGAAAGTTTAAGGAAAATACGAATCACTGATGCATGTTGTTCATGTCTTATGATAATGTTGGGCAAATGAATGCATTTTCTAATAAGTTCAATACATTTAGTTGATTTCCTACTAAGTTCAATAAATGTTTGAATATTGTTGAATTCCTTTTTAAAATCTGGGTTCCGTGATTCCGTCCGCGTTCTCTGCAACATGGATTTTATAGGGCCCTACAAAAGGTCTTAATAATGAAATGTCCATGCATGTTATGTAAATGTAAACATGAACTAATGTCGTGTTGTTAAACACTTCAGCCTACTCTATGACATTTCTATCCTGCACTGTACCCAATGATTTACGAAAGCTTAGTTGGTAGGTCGATGTCCTCATTGTGGTTTTACACACATGTTTAATACGTTTTTATGTATATACTTTATAATATTTATGAAATGCACATTGTTACAGTGTCTTCAGAAAGTATTCAAACTCCTTGACTTTGTCCACATTTTGTTGTGTTACAGCCTGAATTTAAAATATATTAAATTGAGATTTTGTGGCACTGGCCTACACACAATACCCAATAATACCCTATAATAATTAATTGTCCCCCCCCCCCCCCCCCCCCATCCTTCCTCCACCCCTCTATAAAAAAAATATAAAAAAAGTGGTTGTCCCACTGGCTATCATAAGTTGAATGCACAAGTTGTAAGTCGCTCTGGATAAGACTGTCTGCTAAATGATGTAAATGTAATGTAAATGTCAAAGTGGAATTATGTTTTTAGACATTTTTACAAATTAATTATAAAATCAAAAGCTGAAATGTCTTGAGTCAATAAGTATTCATCCCCTTTGTCATGGCAAGGCTAAATAATTTCAGGGGTAAGAATGTGCTTAACAAGTCACATAATAAGTTGCATGGACTCACTCTGTGTGCAATAATAGTGTTTAACATGATTTTTGAATGGCTACATCATCTCAGTTTCCTCAGTCGAGCAGTGAATTTCAAACACAGATTCAACCACAAAGACCAGGGAAGTTTTCCAATGCCTCGTCAAAATAGAAAAAAGCTGACATTGAATATCCCTTTGAGCATGGTGAAGTTATTAATTACACTTTGGATGGTGTATCAATATAACCAGTCACTACAAATATACAGGCATCCTTCCAAACTCAGTTGCCGGAGAGGAAGGAAACCACTCAGGGATTTCACCATGAGGCCAATGGTGACTTTAAAACAGTTACAGAGAAAACTGAGGATGGATCAACAACATTATAGTTACTCCACAATACTAACCTAATTGACAGAATGAAAAGAAGGAAGCATGTACAGAATAAAAATATTCCAAAACATGCATCATGTGTGCAACAAGGCACTAAAGTAACACTGCAAAACATTTGGCAAAGCAATTAACTTTTTGTCCTGAATACAAAGTGTTATGTTTGGGGAAAATCCAATACAACACATTACTGAGTACCACTCTTCATATTTTCAAGCTTAGTGGTAGCTGCATCATCTTATGGGTATGTGTGTAATTGTTAAGGACTGGGGAGTTTTAAAGGATAAAAAATAAGAGGATTGGAGCTAAGCACAGGCAAAATCCTAGAGGAAAACCTGGTTCAGTCTGCTTTCCATCAGACACTGGGAGATGAATTCACCTTTCAGTAGGACAATAACCTAAAACACAAGGCCAAATATACATGGAGTTGCTTACCGAGACGACATTGAATGTTTCTGAGTGGCCTAGTTACAGTTTTGACTTAAATTGGCTTGAAGATCTATGGCAAGACTTGAAAATGGCTGTCTAGCAATGATCAACAACCAACTTGACAGAGCTTGAAGACATTTTTAAATAATAATGTGCAAATATTGTACAATCTGGGTGGGCAAAGCTCTTAGTGACTTACCCAGAAAGACTTACATCTGTAATCACTGCCAAAGGTCAATCTAACATTTATTGACTCTGGGGTGTGAATACTTATGTAAATTATATGTTTCTGTATTTCATTTTCAATAAATTTGCAAACATTTCTAAAAATGTGTTTTCACTTCGTCATTATGGGGTGTTGTGTGTAGTATATGGGTGAGAATTTTTATTTTATTTAATCATGAAGGCACTCTATATTTGGTAACACATTAGTGTTTCTTGAGTGTACTTTTAACAGAGTTGAGATTTACTTCAAACTGCATTCACCCTATTGCTTACACCTATCAACTTGTTTGATCTACATACAGTAAGTGCCTAGGGAGGAGGGGTTAGGGTTTCTTCAGGACAGGGCCTAACTATTCTGGGCCAATAAGCACATGCCCTAAATATATCCCTTATTGGGATTGTGGTTAGGGCGTACGTTACTAGTGCTGGTGGCCTGGCTTCGAAACCCGCTAGGGGAGTCACCCTACTCTCACATACTTAGCAATATAATGTCATTATATAGGCCCCGTGTAGCTCAGTTGGTAGAGCATGGCGTTTGCAACGCCAGGGTTGTGGGTTCGATTCCCACGGGGGGCCAGTATGAAAAATTTATGCACTCACTAACTGTAAGTCGCTCTGGATAAGAGCATCTGCTAAATGACTAAAATGTAAATGTGAATTATTTGGTAACAAATTGTTCAAATTGGTATGTGGTGTAGATTTCAAAAAGTCAATAGTTTTCTTTGAGATGCTCAGCTATATAGAACTAATAAATACAGATAATTTATCAGGTAGTGGAAAGGTGTTCATAATTCGTGCTCAAGGAGAAATCCTACAGATTCCCATCTTTCAATGAGAAACTCATTTTAATTAGATCAGATAGGTGTGTTGTAACTGTTGCCAAATAATGACATTAATATTGGATATTAATTTCAACAGCACAGACATAAAGCACTATGAAGACAGGTAGGTATGATGTCACAAGCTGTTTTTTACGACTATGTCTATGTTGGGGGTATGATGTCACAAGCTGTTTTTTACGACTATGTCTATGTTGGGGGTATGATATCACAAGCTGTTTTTTACGACTATGTCTATGTTGGGGGTATGATGTCACAAGCTGTTTTTTACAACTATGTCTATTTTGGGGGTATGATGTCACAAGCTGTTTTTTACGACTATGTCTATGTTGGGGGTATGACGTCACAAGCTGCTGTACCTTTTGTCATATCACATCCCTGGCCATTGTGTCTCCTTAATGAAGCATGATGACATTACATAAACATCAGCGTGCTAACCATGCTTGAGATTTACGATCTGGCAGCACACACTAGAAGAACACTGGGAGGTTGTCTTCTACAAACCTCTGTTTGTTTTAGTGGAACTCACTGCTCGTGTGCCAGCTTTGCCCGGTGGCGGGCACTGATCTACCGATCACAACTCCCAGTGCCACACTCTGTGGTCAATCATAAATGGGCACCTCCCAGCATAAGGGTGGCCCATGTCAACAGTGTGTTGTGTTCTGGGGGGGAAATTACTGAACTCCTGCCTTTTTGTTATTTTTCTATAAACCCCCAGGGAATAGGAATTTGGTGAGAGGGAGGGAGGGGGAATTCCAGAATTCCATGTTGTGGAATAGAGTAGATTCTAGAATGTTACTCAGCTGTGTCAAAACAAGGAAAAGAAGGAAAGGTGTAAGACTGTGAAATCTGAGACATGGAAGTGACTGGAGTGTAGCTTCTTTGCAGCCGTTCTACTGTTCCCATGGCATGGGAGGAGAAGGGGACGGTTAGTGTGTTTGAAGTCTCACCGACGCTTGCTCATTGCTCTCTCTCTCCCTCTTCCTCTCTCTCTCTCCCTTCCTCTCTCCCTACCTCAATCTCTCTCTCTCTCTCTCTCTCTCTCTCTCTCTCTCTCGTAGAAAATGTTGGATGAGTGCCAGGACAAGAGGAGCTGTAAGGTCCTTGTCAACAGTCGTCTCTTCGGGACAGACCCATGCCCCAGCAGCAGCAAATACCTCATTGTGTGGTACAAATGCCGGCCTAGTAAGTCCCTCATCACCCCCCAAGCCTCTTTATCGTTTATACTCCTCCTCCAACTGTCTATCTAGCTCTCTCTCTGACACACTCAGAGACCCGCACGCACACACACAGAAAACCCTGGTGACACGATATATGGTTTAAATCCCTTTCACACTAAATGGGCAGAAACGGAAACAGAAGTCTTCATAATGTGGACTATGTTTAGCCATGCACAGGTATTCCACACACAGAGTCCAGGAAAACGCTCATCCAGAGGCAGTGCTCCTAGTGGCCGGGGACTTTAATGCAGGGAAACTTAAATCCGTTCTACCTCATTTCTACCAGCATGTTAAATGTGCAACCAGAGGAAAAAAAAAACTCTAGACCACCTTTACTCCACACACAGAGACGCATACAAAGCTCTCCCTCGCCCTCCATTTGGCAAATCTGACCATAACTCTATCCTCCTGATTCCTGCTTATAAGCAAAAACTAAAGCAGGAAGCACCAGTGACTCTGTTAATAAAAAAGTGGTCAGATGACGCAGATGCTAAGCTACAGGACTGTTTTGCTAGCACAGACTGGAACATGTTCCAGGATTCTTCAGATAGCATTGAGGAGTACACCACATCAGTCACTGGCTCCATCAATAAGTGCATCAATGATGTCATCCCCACAGTGACCGTACGTACATACCCCAACCAGAAGCCATGGTTTACAGGCAACAGCCGCACTGAGCTAAATGGTAGAGCTGCCGCTTTCAAGGAGTGGGACTCTAACCCGGACGCTTATAAGAAATCCCGCTATGCCCTCCGGCGAACCATCAAACAGGCAAAGAGTCAATACAGGACTAAGATTGAATCGTACTACACGGGCTCTGACGCTCCTCGGATGTGGCAGGGCTTGAAAACTATTACAGACTACAAAGGGAAGCACAGCCGCGAGCTGCCCAGTGAGACAAGCCTACCAGACGAGCTAAACCACTTCTATGCTCGCTTCGTGGCAAGCAACACTAAAGCATGCATGAGAGCACCAGCTGTTCCGGATGACTATGTGATCACACTCTACGTAGCCGATGTGAGTAAGACTTTTAAGCAGGTCAACATTCACAAGGCCGCAGGGCCAGACGGATTACCAGGACGTGTACTCCGATCCGAGCATGTGCTGACCAACTGGAAAGTGTCTTCACTGACATATTCAACATGTCCCTGACTGAGTCTGTAATACCAACATGTTTCAAGCAGACCACCATAGTCCCTGTACCCAAGGACACTAAGATAACCTGCCTAAATGACTACCGACCCGTAGCACTCACGTCTGTAGCCATAAAGTGCTTTGAAAGGCTGGTCATGGCTCACATCGACACCATTATCCCAGAAACCCTAGACCCACTCCAATTTGCATACCGCCCCAACAGATCCACAGATGATGCAATCTCTATTGCACTCCACACTGCCCTTTCCCACCTGGACAAGAGGAACACCTATGTGAGAATGCTATTCATTGACTACAGCTCAGCGTTCAACACCATATTGCCCTCAAAGCGCATCGCTAAGCTAAGGATCCTGGGACTAAACACCTCGCTCTGCAACGGGATCCTGGACTTCCTGACGGGCCGCCCCCAGGTGGTAAGGGTAGGTAACAACACATCTGCCACGCTGATCCTCAACACGAGGGCCCCTCAGGGGTGCGTGCTCAGTCCCCTCCTGTACTCCCTGTTCACCCATGACTGCATGGCCAGGCATGACTCCAACACCATCATTAAGTTTGCTGACGACACAACAGTGGTAGGCCTGATCACTGACAACGATGAGACAGCTTATAGGGAGGAGGTCAGAGACCTGGCCGTGTGGTGCCAGGATAACAACCTCTCCCTCAACGTGACCAAGACAAAGGAGATGATTGTGGACTACAGGAAAAAAAAGAGGACTGAGCACGCCCCCATTCTCATCGACGGGGCTGTAGTGGAACAGGTTGAGAGCTTCAAGTTCCTTGGTGTCCACATCACCAACAAACTATCATGGTCCAAACACACCAAGACAGTCGTGAAGAGGGCATGACAAAGCCTATTCCCCCTCAGGAGACTGAAAAGATTTGGCATGGGTCCTCAGATCCTCAAAAAGTTCTACAGCTGCACCATCGAGAGCATCCTGACTGGTTGCATCACCGCCTGCTATGGCAACTGCTTGGCCTCCGACCGCAAGGCACTACAGAGGGTAGTTCGTACGGCCCAGTACATCACTGGGGCCAAGCTTCCTGCCATCCAGGACCTCTATACCAGGCGGTGTCAGAGGAAGGCCCACAAAATTGTCAAAGACTCCAGCCACCCTAGTCACAGACTGTTCTCTCTGCTACCGCACGGCAAGCGGTACCGGAGCGCCAAGTCTAGGTCCAAAAGGCTTCTCAACAGCTTCTACCCCCAAGCCATAAGACTCCTGAACAGCTAATCATGGCTACCCGGACTATTTGCACTGCCCCCCCCACCCCATATTTTTACGCTGCTGCTACTCTGTTAATTATTTATGCATAGTCACTTTAACTCTACCCACATGTACATACTACTTCAACTAGCCGGTGCCCCCGCACATTGACTCTGCACCGGTACCCCCCTGTATATATAGCCTCCCTACTGTTATTTTATTTTACTTCTGCTCTTTTATTCTCAACACTTTTTTGTTGTTGTTGTTTTATTTTACTTTTTTATTAAAAAATAAATGCATTGTTGGTAAAGGGCTGTAAATAAGCATTTTACTGTAATGTCTACACCTGTTGTATTCGGCACATGTGGCAAATCAAATTTGATTTGATTTTACAGTGACCTGTGACAGAGCTCAATACCTGGAGTACCTCCATTAGCCAGGATATCAAAACTATGGACATTGGGGGAGTGGAACAGGAATGCAGCAGAGAAGAAGGCGACAGGGAAGGCGACAGCTCCTGAGTGGTGCAGTGGTCTAAGGCACTGCATCGCAGTGCTAACTGTGACACTAGAGAACCTGGTTCGAATCCAGGCTCTGTCGCAGCCGGCCGCGACCGGGAGACTCATGGGCGGCGCACAATTGGCCCAGCGTCGTCCAGGGTAGGGGAGGGAATGGCCGGCAGGGATGTAGCTCAGTTGATAGAGCATGGCGTTTGCAACGCCAGGGTTGTGGGTTCGATTCCCATGGGGGGCCAGTATAAAAAAAACTAAAAAAAACTGTAAGTCGCTCTGGATAAGAGCGTCTGCTAAATGACAAAAATGTAGAGAGAGAGAGAGAGAGAGAGAGAGAGAGAGGAGAGAGAGAGAGAGAGAGAGAGAGAGAGAGAGAGAGAGAGAGAGAGAGAGAGAGAGAGAGAGAGAGAGAGAGAGAGAGAGAGTTCTCTCTCGTCAGAAGTAATTGGTTAAGTGACAGGACAAAGGAGATGTTGATTGGTTCAGGGTAGGGGAGGGGAGGGGAGGGGTCAGTGGAATGGCTGTGAGTGACCATACCACAGCTCAGGAATGACATGAATGGACTTAAGGCTGTCCCAAATGGCACCCTATTCCCTACATACAGTAGTGCACTACATTTGACCAGGGCTCATAGGGCTAGTATGTAAAATATCACATTACATAGAGAATAGAGTGCCATTTGGGACGCAACCTTAGTTACTACAACACTCTGGGTGGTGGGATTACTTCACTGTTATTCTGTCTCTGCCTGGAATTATACATTCCACTGAGAGAAGGAGAGAAATAGGGAGGGGAGGATAGATGGATGGGGAGAGAGGTTGAAAGTTTGAGAGAAGGCTAATGGCGCTTGGAAAGAGATGACGGAGAGATGAGGAATGGAAGGAAGTATGAAGAACACACACACTTGCATATGCACAAATGCACACTCACATGGAAAATATAAAAGGCAAACTTCAGAGTAAGCCTGAGACTGACAAAAAGGGTTAAAGTGTGTTTGTGTGTACAATACAATACTATACAATAAATATATACAATAATACTAAAGTCTCTCTCTCACCCCATCTCCTCCCCCAGATGAGTATAAGAGTAAGGTGGCGTGCGAAGAGGAGAGAATGAAGCTGAGCTGTAAACGGGGGATGCAGATCGCCGTCTACTCAGCCATGTTCGGTCGAACCCAGCACGGGACCCTGGATTGTCCTACCCACCACAGGAGGGTGTCATCCGTAGGTAAGACCATCCCCCATGTATAGAACCTGGAGTTTTCCCTGACCACTTGACCTGATCAGGGAGAACTCTGGGCCTAAAGCATCTTTGTAACTAGGACCTAGAGTTACTCCTGGGTCTTAAACTTGGGTCATAGGCTATCAGTAGGGTGGGCCCAGAGCTTTTCTCTGTCAGATCAGTTGGGAAAAGGCGATTGTTGGCACAAGATCTGATCTGCTAAATGGCATAATATTATTATTATTATTTGATTGGTCAAAATCCCAATTAGTGGCAAAAGATCAGAATTGGGCTGCCTGTGTGAACGCAACCTTACTGTCACTATGGGTGCCTGCTCCAACAACAACCTTCCTTGTTTGGAGTCCTGAATGGTTTGATTGTGACCCAATGGCGATACTCCACCTAGTTTTCCAATGGCCTTAGGGAAGTGTCCTCCATATTTCTTTATTTAATATTTCTTTATTTCTGTCCCATCAGATCTGCAAATAGTGCATGGGTAGGGGGTAGGGAAAGGGCTAGGGGTTGTTATGTCAATGGGTCGAGCTTTAGATCAATTATATGCCCCAGTAAATTAACTATGCAAGCTGATTTGGAACCAGCTCTCTAGAGCCTTATATCCTAGTCCTAGTTAATCACTAAAACTGGATCAGTTAAGGTCATGAACTAAACGTATATACCCAGAAAACATGTCCACATTGACATGATATGGGTCCAATGCGGGCTCAAATATTGGCCCCATGTAGGCTGCCCACATTGGTTCTGTTTTGATGAGGTTTGAAATACTTATAGGATCTGTATGTATCTCTGGTTAAGAGTTAACAGTGAGATATATAACTACACACACACACACACACACACACACACACACACACACACACACACAGGGGAATAGGAGTGGAATGCATATAGAAAATCAGATGTCTCTGTCATCTACAGGGGAGAGTTTGGCTCGTAGTAAAGGGACAGTATTGAGTTCTGTGTGTGTGTGCGTGCTATGGAGGCTGTCTAGAGATATCTCACAAGCAGCAATGTTGTCAAAGTTATTTTTAATGGCTGCATTCTAGGATCTACATTTTAGTCATTTAGCAGACGCTCTTATCCAGAGCGACTTACAGTTAGTGAGTGCATACATTTTCATACTGGCCCCCCGTGGGAAACGAACCCACTACCCTGGCGTTGCAAGCGCCATGCTCTACAGGGGACTCTAGGATAGGTATCACTCCAACTACAGCTATTCTGTTGGCTTGGCCAATGGCCATTTTATGGGAGAGTCCAGGGTCATATTCATATGGCACCAAACGCAAGAAAACGGACTGAAGCAGGGACGGACTACTAGTTTCAGTTGTCAGTTGCAACATTTATTTTTTATTTTTTCCATTGCATGCCTTAGTGAATAAAACCCAGTCGTTTACATAGTGCTGATAATTGTCTCCTACGTAAAGTATAGGAGGCATGTGAGGGTGTGTGTGCTTGTCTGTGAGTGGGTCAAATGTAATTCGTCACGATTCACAATTCAAACAATGGTCATGCCCCAGACGGGGTCAGGAGGCTGAATCCGGTGTCACTCTGAGTCAGATATAGAGAATGCCATTGTGTGTGTCCCCTTTATGTGATGTGAGCAGCCATTCCCAAATGGGACCCTATGCACTATATAGTGCACTACCTTTGACCAGGGCCGATAGGGGAACCCATAGGCCCTGCGTCCCAAATGGAACAGGGTGCCATTTGGGACGCAGACCAGTGTGGGTGCACACTTGGATGGGACACCAGAGTCAACACTGGCAGGTGGACAAGGAATGTAGGACTGGTTGTGAGTGAAAAAGGAGTCAAGTTCTTTTCACAGCGAGGATGACATTTCCTACTGTTGAGGTAGTTTAGAACCACTTCGATGTAAAATCCCCTGTTTAGGGGACCTGCATGGCTCTGGTACCGTTTCTGACCGACATTTTCACTTATAAAACGATCTGTGGACCCCGTAGATCGAAATGGCTTGCAGTGAGCAATAGTCCTGATTCTCACAGACACTATTTTGCCTGTGTGAAGCAGGATGTGAAATCTGACACCACTTGAAGCTGGGATTTCCCTCCTACCATTTCATTCGCTCTTCCAACTGTCCATCAACTCCTGGCTGAACCCTACGTCACAGCCACTAACAATGCATATGCCTGGAATCCTTACATCATAACTAGGGTTTAACATTATCCCGTTATTTTACAAATGTTCCATCCCGAGAATAAATCACTTTTCTCACGGGTAACCCGGTATGTCATTCAAAAGCATTATAAAGCATATACTTGAAATATGTCTGGATTTCATTAGGACTTTGATCAGCATGAAAATTCTAACCTGATGCTACCTGAGCCTAAAAAAATACATTTTATGAGCCCTACATTAACAACATTTAATGAGCCCAAGCCCAAAAAAGCCCAAATGATTGTACCGTTTTCCAATACAATAATGACATAGGCTACTGTACATTACGCATGACAGAAAAACATAAAAGCATAGATGTAGCCAGCTATATGCTCTCTTGGGTAAATACATGAAACTATCTCCAGTAGGGTAATCCTTTTGAGTGTGAACTGTATTACTGTACTGTATTGTATTATACTGTATTATATGGACTGGAATTACGCACATCGTTCAATCCATGATAAAGCAGAAGAGAACATGCGATTCTGGTGCAGTACATGCGGCCTACAAAGTTACAAGTATAGGCTAGCGAATTTGATTTTAATTTTGAAGTATAATAGGGCCTATTTGTACAATTAGTAGGCTGACGCATATATACCTTTCATAATATTTCCCCTAATGTTATTAGCCTATCTCCTCTTGCCATTGTTGCTTCATTCCATCCTCGCTGTCAACAGTTAAATGAAATACATTTCGTTGTCCTTATCTTCATCATTCTAATGACATCCTTGAATAATATAGGACTAGAATTAGATGCCGAAGGCTTTCACTTCTCTTCACGAAGATTGATTGAATGGTTATGGGTCTGAATAAATAACTGCTATAGCCTACCGCCATCGCACGTTCACTCTTCTTTCAAACTACCCGTGAGTTGTATTGGCTGCTGTATTTAACATTCAGCAAAAAAGAGCTTGCGTCCCTCTTCGAATAGTCTATTGATATAAGAAATGCAAAAAAGAAAAATGTCCAGCAAGCTATTCTAGTCTAGCTTTTCCTGCATGGGACTCCAAGAGCTAAGGAGCATTTTTTTTAGGAGAGGCCAGCGGAGCACAGGTGCTTGCGTATTGTGGAACAGAGGCTATAGGTTAGAAGCTTCTTATGCATAACCTATCATTAATAAGCTAAATATAAGGCAAATTAATTCCTAACCTCCTGACATCATTCCAGAAAATACATTTCTCATGACAATTTGTAAGTTACATGGAAATTATAATATATTCAAATGAATATATCCCAATAAAAATAACTTCAGTCTTGCCATCCATGTTCCTATTGAATTACCACTAAAAACCTTGAAAAGACTTCAACAGCGTTCAAATTATCAAATTCCCCCACAATCTTTGCATCTCTATTCATACTCTTAAGTTAAATTCCCAAAACCTTCCTATTCTGATGGCAAGCATGTGACATTTCAGACCCAATTGCTTGAAAATCCAAGACTGTTAATAGGTACCATGTTCAACTCTGTTCAACCCTGACTCTGTTCCCATAATATGCCTGAGGAGAGATTCACAGGATAACACTCTGTTTTCAGTCCCTGTTAAATCAGTACAGCCTTGGACTATTTAGGATTGAGGAATTCAACCAAAAGTCAGATCAGATGAAAATAGCATAAACATTCCGTTTGACCTGTGTCATTGCCAACAAAGGGTATATCACAAAGTATTGAGAAACTTTTGTTATTGACCAAATACTTATTTTCCACCATAATGTGCAAATAAATTCATTAAAAATCCTACAATGTGATTTTCTGGATTTTTTTTTCTCAATTTGTCTGTCATAGTTGACGTGTACCTATGATGAAAATTACAGGCCTCTCTCATCTTTTTAAGTGGGAGAACTTGCACAATTGGTGGCTGACTAAATACTTTTTTCCCCCACTGTAAATCCCATTTCAGGTTGCTTATGGCTGTATTATCAATTATATACTTTCGCGCTACTTATAATGTATCCTTTTTAAAACTATCATCTTGAGGATAGTCATTATCTGTCCATACTGACCTATCACTAAGATATGGTTCCACAAGTCGTTATTTCACTCGGTAACCGGGTACCCGCCATTCAACCCTAATCGTAATGCAGCAGGAGACAGTGGTTTGGTCGCTGTAGCACATTCAGAGATCGATGTATAGCCAGTAATCAAAAATAATGTGTAGATTTTAAGATGAATAGATTCATATGAGATGAAAGGCGTGTTTCTTACGCGTTCAGGAAGCCAAGCTAGAGCTCTGTGAGACATGGGGGCAGACATTTTGATCAAGAGAGACCTTTAGAAAATATGCAAATTTTCTCAAACACTAAATATACAAATATGTATTTTACAGTTAGGAAGGTGAAATACTATAGTTTTATAAATTGATTATACTATATTTAGAAAAAATATAAGTAATTTCAAGCCTTATTCATAATGCTTTGTTGAATAGGAAACATTTCATATTTTCCTATTTTTATCATAATTGTACTGTGTACTTGAGCTTATGTTCTCGGAAGTGAATACACCTCAGCAAATTATAACTATTTTTACCAGAAAGGTGAGATTTTAACCTTTCTTGGAGTATGCAGCATTACTAGTTATATTGTATGGCCCTCTCATGAGAAATAGTTACTTTTGGGAATTACATTTTCGATTACATTTAGTTAAATTTAAGAGGCTATACGGTTTCACTACCAGAAAGACACAAGTGTGCGTGTGTGTGTGTGTGTGTGTGTCAAATTTAGTTCACATTACTCCATTCTCTATATGTTAATATCTCTTTACAGCCTCATACACTCAGGGTGACATATCCATCATGCAAAAGAGCACAGATCTGTG